TAATTTACAGAGACATCACAATAACGTAATATACAAGAAAACTGATCCACAGGAGCATTCATAAGGGTTCGAACCTGCGCGCTGACTGTTCCCAATATTAATAACCGTCGTTACAGCTTCGTAACACAGTAGTAACGTCGTAACAATGTCATGACGTCGTTATTGCGACGTAACAAAGACGTCAGTGGTTAAGACAACGGATACGTTGTTTTAACGAGTCGGAGTGGCTAGTCTGATGGCTCGTTAGTCGTACCCTAACTACCCGGACGCGATTACGTCCCTTAACAGACATCAAGACGGCCCCTCTGGATTGCTGTACCCCCCCACCCCAATTAGTCATGAAAAGGTGTCGGGATTGGCGGCATTGTAACAAGCACGAACACCACCATCCGGTGATTGGGTGGGGTATGTCCCCTGCTGATGTCGCCACGCTCTGATTGGTAGAGAGTTTCTGAACGGTGGTGATTGGTCTTGTGACGTCAGTGATCACGTGCCGCAGGAATCCTTTGTTTTCCAGGAAGTATCTTCACTATATTTTGCCAGGCTCTGATATATATATATATATAAGATATATATATATAAGTGAGATGTCTAGACAAATCTAGACATTTATAAGTGAGGGTGCCAAACTGCTATCCAACTGAGACTTCATAAACCTTCCCTGAAGCAACACTAAGGTATCTTGGGGTAATCTACCATTCCACTCATGCCAAATAGTCTATCGCAAACGATCGCACTGGACATGTAAATGGTCTCTGACACACCAGTGTTGCTGGAGCTACGGAAAGGGAGAGAAAAGGTTGAATGAATCACAATTGAGTATTGTTTTTACAAGAGCCGAGTGAAAGAGAGAGAGAACTTTGAGCAGCGCCTCTCCTCGATGCCTATCTGCCGGTGCCAGAGAGCTAAACAATGGTCTCTGGCGACATTTAACACGCGGGTCCGAGAACCATTGACCAGGCCTCGCCTCACTCGCACAACTGACAAATAAAAATTAATAAAAGTGTAATAAAATGTACAAGGAATAAAATACATGAAAGAGACAGTTCTGGCAGAAAGGCAAAGGTTTCAGATAGATGAAGTGGCACTGAAGTGGCACAGAGACGTAGAGAAATGCTGAGGCAGAGAGGCGTTGGGGCAGAGAAACGCGGTCTGAAAATGGCTGCTAGAATATAACCCAGCCAAGTGCAACGTTATGAGGATTGGAACAGACGTTGCACCAACGAGTCTACAGGTACACAGTCTACTGTAGTCTACACTGCTTGGGAGACGTGCTCAAGGTGCCTGCCTTCCTGAGCAGTAACCTCAGGGTCGTGTAGCACAGTGGTCCTCATCCTTTTGGAGAATTGATTTTTCAGTTACCATCAACAGTGAAGAAAAATGTAAGAAACATTGAGAAAATTCGTGTTAGAATTATTAGTCTCACTTTTTCGGTCATATTTAATAATATATGTCTACAGGAAAGACTGCTACCAAATATAAATATATATATATATATATATATATATATATATATATATATATATATATATATATATATATATATATATATATATATATATATATATATATATATATATATATATATATATATATATATATATATATATATATATATATTATATATATATATATAAGAAGATTTCTCCAAATGTATTGTTCAAGGTTGACTAAAAGAATAAAAATTAATTGTAGAATGAGTTATACTTATTATAATTTACACAAGGTATCGAGCCTACAAGGTTCATTCTCAAGTGAGGAGACATCTGATTTATATTATAGTGACTTATAATACTAACCTAACCTCTTGTCCATATTTCACCCTTGACCTCTTCGTCCGTTCCCCTTGTTATCCCCCAACCTTCCCCTCTCCTCCTCCTCTCAGAAAATATATCTAAGATACACTGAAACAATTGTCTGGGGTCTCACAGAAGCAAATATATTATGATCACCAAAATCTCTCGGGGAATCACTTCAAATATTTCACACTTGATTCTTTGAATATTAAATTTATAATACAACTCTATATATTCTCTATAACTTAATAACGCCTTTAACGTAGACCAACCCAAACCAGCCTATGTCCATCCCGTACCCAAGACCACGTCCCTTGCAAAGTTGGATGAGGCTGGCACCAGGCGCCTGGCCTCCAGCTTTGGAGACAGAAAGACATTCTTACTGTATCTATATTTAGTCCATAAAGTTAATCTGAGCATAGCTATAGTCCGAGCACAGACGGGTACTGTACCTGGAGCTTCAGGGAAGTCACCAAGACTTCCATTCACTCAAGTTCCTCTCCTGAGTGATGTCCTTGCAAACGTTAACTGGGAATTACACTCGGAATACTCGAGTGATACACACTGACACACGTTTACTGGCTTACACAAAGCTTTCCGGGCTCCCAGTTCACCGGCACGGGTTCGACTCCCGCCCGAGGCAGAAACAAGTAAACAGGATTCTATTTAGACTAATGTGTCAGTTCACCAAGCTGAGAATATGTACCAGGGAGTTAGTCAGCTGTGGCGGAGTGCATCCTAAATGTGTGTGTGTGTGAGAGAGAGTGAGAGAGAGAGAGAGAGAGAGAGAGAGAGAGAGAGAGAGAGAGAGAGAGAGAGAGAGAGAGAGAGAGAGAGAGAGAGAGAGAGAGAGAGAGCAGTAGTAGTAGATATGATAGATGTAAAATAGCTCTTGAGTCAGTTCATTACACACACACACACACACACACACACACATACACACATACACATAGGGGGCCTCGTAGCCTGGTGGATAGCGCGCAGGACTCGTAATTCTGTGGCGCGGGTTCGATTCCCGCACGAGGCAGAAACAAATAGGCAAAGTTTCTTTCACCCTAAGTGCCCCTGTTACCTAGCAGTAAATAGGTACCTGGGAGTTAGTCAGCTGTCACGGGCTGCTTCCTGGTGTGTGTGTGTATGTGTCGTGTGGAAAAAAAAAAAAAAAAAAAAAAAAAAAAAAAAAAAAAGTAGTAAACAGTTGAGAGGCGGGCCGAAAGAGCAAAGCTCAACCCCCGCAAAAACACAACTAGTAAACGCACACACACACACAAACACACACACACACACCATAAAATATACCCTAAAATAAAACATATCAAAGCTGGCAGAAAAGACTCAGACATAATTCCTTTTAACAGAAATTGTGGAGGGCGGGAAAGCAGCGCAGAAAGAGACGATAAGCGCAAAAATAACAGAAAACCACCAGCATAAATAAGACAAAAGAACATCAAAAGACTCGGCATCATGGGTTTAAACTCTCCTGCGTAGAGGCAAAATATTTAATCCCACACTAACGGCGCCACATCCCTCGTCTTATAATGTGTTGGGCGGCACACTACCACATGAGACAACACAAGATTATTCTCTTCTCCTCTCACACAAATGTGAATTATTTCTCTCGTCTTCAACTGATATTTTACTTGTCTCTAATTATTACCTGTGGGACCTCTACTGCCACGTTCTCACCTGTGGACCCCTACTGCCATGTTCTCACCTGTGGACCCCTACTGTCATGTTCTCACCTGTGGACCCCTACTGTCATGTTCTCCCCTGTGGACCCCTACTGCCATGTTCTCACCTGTGGACCCCTACTGTCATGTTCTCACCTGTGGGACCCCCTACTGTCATGTTCTCACCTGTGGGACCCCCTACTGTCATGTTCTCACCTGTGGGCCTCTACAACCATAACCAAAAGTCCTACATTGTAGACCAGCATGTCAGTGACATGAGACGTTCACTTCACACACATTTGATTCGTATTTGGTCAATACAGCGTAAGGCATTTGTCCCTTCTGCTGCACTTGAAACATTTCACTGGACCCCTTGGGATTCATGGACCCCCGTGGGACTCATTGGACCCCCGTGGGACCCATTGGACCCCCGTGGGACCCATTGGACCCCCGTGAGAGAGCATTTAAGGCTCACGGCTGACAGCTTTGACCCAGCTTGAGTTTGGGATCGTTGCCGCTACAAACTCCTGCAGTTACCTTGATTCTGTCGTCTAATCCTACGACATTTACGAAGCTGGTTTTCCTGCTTCCTTTCCCGACTATGTTGATCAAGACTATTGCGGTACACTGACCAGGACCTGACTCTATACTGACAAGGTCTTGACGCTACACTGATGATGACATGACGCAATATTGACCACGTTCATGACGCCACAGTAGGAAGGGGAGGGGGGCAGGACGCACCTGCCTTGCGTCAATGCGTACTGAGCTTCACAAGCGGTTATCCTGGCCGCCTGCAACAGTACTCTACTTCACACAAACACCCAAGACACACAACAAAGACACAAGCCAAGGAGCCCCAATGGAAGCCACACCACTCACTATATCATGTGTCAGTAACCCCGGGACCAAGCTCAATTCTCTATTTCCCCAAAAATTACAAATTAGTATCCCGTTCCTTCGTTACTGAACCCTCACCTCACCTCGTATCACCTCGGATCATCTCACCTAATGTTATGTAACGTCACCTCATTTCACGTGACCTTACCTCTGCTATCTGCTTCCCTCAGGTAAATTATATCATTATTTGTGTAGAGATACCATCTCTCTCTCTCTCTCTCTCTCTCTCTCTCTCTCTCTCTCTCTCTCTCTCTCTCTCTCTCTCTCTCTCTCTCTCTCTCTCTCTCTCTCTCTCTCGCATTCTTTATCTCCTTCGATTTCCCTTCATACACCCCCCTATTCCCTTCTCTCTCCCTCCCTCCCATTCTTTGTTCCTTACCTGTTCGCATTTTCTTACCGTTTTCTATCTCTCTCTCGCCCTTTCTCTCTTCTTTCTCTTCCATTCTCTCTCCATCCCATCCTTCCTTTCTGTCACCCTCCTTCCTGTTCTTTCCATCACCCTCTTTCCCGTTCTCCCTCCGATCCTCCCATTCTCTCTCCTTCCCGCTCTCTCTCTCCCTCTCTTACTCCCAGAGCACACACACCACCACCACCACCACACATAACACCACCACCACCACACATAACACCACCACACACCCGACTCAGTTCGAACCAAACATGACAAACATGAATCCCATGAAAGAACTAATCATGTATTTAAATTGCATGATTGTCTTGGAAGGAGGAAGACCCGCCAGCCTCCACAATGGAGGAAGTTGACTGGCACTGGAAACAACCTGAGGAGGATTTCCAGAGTCCTTAAGGCGATTTAGAGTTCTGTATAGTCCTGAAGTCCTCAGCGGATCTGAGAAGAGCCCTGGAAGGGATTTAGAACCATCTTCACCGGAAATAAACGTATATCTTGCTGTATTGGTATTATACTCGGGTATAATATAAATATATTCTTCTCAAGTATACTCAAGAGTTATAAACTAAGAGGAAAGTCATGTTAGGAATGAGAGCTGGGATGGTAGAGAGGATTTAAAGATAAAGATAAGAAAGATAATCAAAAGATAAACAGAGGCAGCTCTGTTATGTCAATGTTGCATCATTCACCTCGACTTGCAATGGTAGATGTTACAACAGAGCGAGTGACAGATTACCTTGACTGTTAAGGTTACCGCTCATATCGAATATCCGTCTGTCTGTCTGTCCAAGGTTGAAGACCAGACACATCACCCAATTTGTCCCAGTAATTACTGTTGGTCTGTGTCCAACACTGGGCGGTCAAGATTGGCATGAAGGAGAAGAGTGCCACGTTACATGATGAGAAAGTGACCCCCACGATAACTAACACAACCATTATGACTCGACTCTTATATATTATTTATTGGTTTTGACATCTGTATCTTTAAGAGAAAATGTATTTAAGAACTCGCCCCTTCCCCCCTTAATGGAGGGGACAAGTTGCCCCTTAATGGAGGGGGCGAAGGAAGGAATTATCAAGGGAAAGCGCCAAGCCATTATGGCTATATAGCACTTGGAAGGGGTCAGGATAAGGATCTGGGATGGGACGGGGGGAAGAAATGGTGCCCCAACCACTTGGACGGTCAGGGATTGAACGCCGACCAGCATGAAGCGAGACCGTCGCTCTACCGTCCAGTCCAAGTGGTTGGGCATGGAGGGGGCGAGTTCTTGCATGCTTCAAGTTAAACACAGTACAGCTACAGGAAAGTTAAAGAGAACTACTCCTCGTAGAATAACTATCTTTCACCCCTAAAGGGGAAACACGGAGCTTGAAGATAACACAAGATATTGACTACAATGTACAGACCTAAACACCACAATATACTCCCCGGGGCCACAAGTGGCGCCATATACTGGCATATTTATCTATCGTAGATAGATTGATATAATCGTGAAAATATTGTATACAGAATATAGGATTATATACTAGCATAATTTTATCATACTATCATATGCACATACAAGTTTTGTATTAATATGTTAATGAAAAGAGAGGATCTAGTCCCCCAGCGTAAAGTGACGGAGGAATTGTACCCTAAGATGCACTTAGGGTGAGGTTAGGATCATGTCTCACTCCTCCACCCTGTGTCCACACACTATACCATGAGTCCTTGTGGGGTTATCCTCCCCTCTCCTTGTGGGGTTATCCTCCCCTCTCCTTGTGGGGTTATCCTCCCCTCTCCTTGTGGGGTTATCCTCCCCTCTCCTTGTGGGGTTATCCTCCCCTCTCCTTGTGGGGTTATCCTCCTCTCCTTGTGGGGTTATCCTCCCCTCTCCTTGTGGGGTTATCCTCCCCTCTCCTTGTGGGGTTATCCTCCCCTCTCCTTGTGGGGTTATCCTCCCCTCTCCTTGTGGGGTTATCCTCCCCTCTCCTTGTGGGGTTATCCTCCTCTCCTTGTGGGGTTATCCTCCCCTCTCCTTGTGGGGTTATCCTCCCCTCTCCTTGTGGGGTTATCTTCCCCTCTCCTTGTGGGGTTATCCTCCCCTCTCCTTGTGGGGTTATCCTCCCCTCTCCTTGTGGGGTTATCCTACCCTCTCCTTGTGGGGTTATCCTACCCTCTCCTTGTGGGATTATCCTCCCCTCTCCTTGTGGGGTTATCCTCCTCTCCTTGTGGGGTTATCCTCCCCTCTCCTTGTGGGGTTATCCTCCCCTCTCCTTGTGGAGTTATCCTCCTCTCTCCTTGTGGGGTTATCCTCCCCTCTCCTTGTGGGGTTATCCTCCCCTCTCCTTGTGGGGTTATCCTACCCTCTCCTTGTGGGGTTATCCTCCCCTCTCCTTGTGGGGTTATCCTCCCCTCTCCTTGTGGGGTTATCCTCCCCTCTCCTTGTGGGGTTATCCTACCCTCTCCTTGTGGGGTTATCCTCCTCTCTCCTTGTGGGGTTATCCTCCCCTCTCCTTGTGGGGTTATCCTACCCTCTCCTTGTGGGGTTATCCTCCTCTCTCCTTGTGGGGTTATCCTCCTCTCTCCTTGTGGGGTTATCCTACCCTCTCCTTGTGGGGTTATCCTACCCTCTCCTTGTGGGGTTATCCTCCTCTCTCCTTGTGGGGTTATCCTACCCTCTCCTTGTGGGGTTATCCTCCTCTCTCCTTGTGGGGTTATCCTCCTCTCTCCTTGTGGGGTTATCCTCCACTATGCAGGCGAGGAGTCACAATAACGTGGCTGAAGTATGTTGACCAGACCACACACTAGAAGGTGAAGGGACGACGACGTTTCGGTCCGTCCTGGACCATTCTCAAGTCGACTGTCTGTTATCCTCCCCTATCCTTGTGGGGTTACCAACCTCACGGATGATAAAGGGTCAGGATAGAACAGGCCGGGACGGAAATGGAATGGGTGGCCGCGTGTCCTATCACCTAATGCTGCTGTTCACCCAGTAATAAATAGGTACCCAGGAGTTAGTCAGCTTGTATTACGGAATCAGTAGTTCGACCTTCGTGGGGAGGGGGGCCTTGCTATAAGTCTAACAAGTATATATACCCTGTATACATACTAAGGCATGTATATGTACCCTGTATACATAATAAGCCATGTATACATACCCTGACCACCTGTCCTCCCGGCATAATGAGCCATTATTAATTAATTAAATGATATAAAATGATTATAGTTGACACTCGGTGATATAGGACTGAGAGCTGGCTGTCTGGCAGGTCTTGCTGTTCCACATTGACTACCTACACTATTGCTGTTAGTTTTCGGCACTGAGGCAAGCACCGACTGAACCATTGTTAACTCTGACAACCTGGCGTCTGAGAGGATCTTGAGACTACGTAACTACACTCAAGACTAAGGTAGACGGTAGTTATCAGGAGAAAACACTAAGCCATATATATTACTAAGTGAACAATTGTTATTTTGCAAAATTACCGAGGCTTTAAACTTTACTTTCGGCACCGTGGAGAGGGGGAACCTGCTGCATGGGTAACAGCTTCTCCCCCATATGACCCTACCCTGGCTTTGTGCCGTGGAGAGGCCACTCCAGACCGACAACCAGAGAGCAACTCCATAGTCTCCTGAGACTGATGGATGCCTACTACTACTACTAAGCTAACTCCCGAGTCCCTCTCAGGATGTAAATATGGTTTCCAAGCTGATGGAACTATACCTATGGCGACAGACACAGAAGATACTTTCATCACACAACTTTTGTGCATGTAATAATAAACTGTTGTTGTTGTTGTTAAAGATTCGCTACTTGGAACACACAGTTCCAAGTAGCACGGTCTATGGTGAGCCCGTAGGTACTTGAAAATAATAATCGTCTCCCACATTGACCTTAAAAGATCATCATCAGTTGGAATATATATTGAAGACTCTTGACGTCAGAAATAGACTTTTTCAGGCGTGCATCATCATGGTGAGAGGACGCTGGTCTATACCTCCATGGTGTTCATGCGTCCCATCACCTCTGACAGCTCCTTCCTCGTAAACTCCTCTTCAACGTGCTTCATGGAACAGTTACTGATGGATCCACCACTCAGCAGACTGTCTGACTGGCTCCTCTTACGACCCGCGGGAGACGCCGCAATGGACACAGTCATGTCAACTGGGCTCTCTACGATCTCAGCGCGACGCAGCTTGGGCTTAAAGAGCGGTCTGAACTTATAAGATCCGTTCCTGGTCTTGCGCGACGCCATCTTGCCCTTCCCGGCGTCCTTGCGCGCGCCATTCAGCGCTTGTTTGAGGTGCGTCTTGTGGTCGGACCTGGAGGCGTCGCTGGAGGCGCCGGTGGAGGTGGTGAGGTTGGTAGTGGAGTCTGTGATGAGGGAGTGTTCTGTAAGTTCAAGAGTGTGTTGAGAGCGGGAGGACTGGGAGCGTGCGCGCCACCTACCTCCGCTTGAGCTGCCTCTCCCGCCATAACAGCTCTCCAAGGTGGCCTGAAAGGTGAGGAAACATGTTGTGGTTAGCATCAGGGTCACTGCCAGGACTTTTCCGACCTCCCTAGCTATGGTAGCAGAGAGTATGGGACCCCCATACACATGTAATGTAAGATATGGGATCCCATACACATGTAATGTAAGATATGGGACCCCATACACATGTAATGTAAGATATGGGACCCCATACACATGTAATGTAAGATATGGGACCCCATACCTCAGGTAGTGTAAGATATGGGACCCCATACCTCAGGTAGTGTAAGATATGGGACCGCATACCTCAGGTAGTGTAAGATATGGGACCCCATACCTCAGGTAATGTAAGATATAGGACCCCATACCTCAGGTAGTGTAAGATATGGGACCCCATACCTCAGGTAGTGTAAGATATGGGACCCCATACCTCAGGTAGTGTAAGATATGGGACCGCATACCTCAGGTAGTGTAAGATATGGGACCCCATACCTCAGGAAATGTAAGATATGGGACCCCATACCTCAGGTAGTGTAAGATATGGGACCCCATACCTCAGGTAGTGTAAGATATGGGACCCCATACCTCAGGTAGTGTAAGATATGGGACCGCATACCTCAGGTAGTGTAAGATATGGGACCCCAGACCTCAGGTAATGTAAGATATGGGACCCCATACCTCAGGTAGTGTAAGATATGGGACCCCAGACCTCAGGTAATGTAAGATATGGGACCCCATACCTCAGGTAGTGTAAGATATGGGACCCCATACCTCAGGTAGTGTAAGATATGGGACCGCATACCTCAGGTAGTGTAAGATATGGGACCCCAGACCTCAGGTAATGTAAGATATGGGACCCCAGACCTCAGGTAATGTAAGATATGGGACCCCATACCTCAGGTAATGTAAGATATGGGACCCCATACCTCAGGTAGTGTAAGATATGGGACCCCATACCTCAGGTAGTGTAAGATATGGGACCGCATACCTCAGGTAGTGTAAGATATGGGACCCCAGACCTCAGGTAATGTAAGATATGGGACCCCAGACCTCAGGTAATGTAAGATATGGGACCCCATACCTCAGGTAGTGTAAGATATGGGACCCCAGACCTCAGGTAATGTAAGATATGGGACCCCATACCTCAGGTAGTGTAAGATATGGGACCCCAGACCTCAGGTAATGTAAGATATGGGACCCCAGACCTCAGGTAATGTAAGATATGGGACCCCATACACATGTAATGTAAGATATGGGACCCCAGACCTCAGGTAATGTAAGATATGGGACCCCAGACCTCAGGTAATGTAAGATATGGGACCCCATACACATGTAATGTAAGATATGGGACCCCATACCTCAGGTAAAGTAAGATATGGGACCCCATACACATGTAATGTAAGATATGGGACCCCATACCTCAGGTAGTGAAAGATATGGGACCGCATACCTCAGGTAATGTAAGATATGGGACCGCATACCTCAGGTAATGTAAGATATGGGACCCCATACCTCAGGTAGTGTAAGATATGGGAACTTCTCTTACACTATCACATATATATTTTTCTTGCTTCTGTGAGCTGAGTTGACTGAATTAATTTCGTCGTCTTATAACATATTTTGAACATCCTCATTTGCACACCCCATTACCTTATTAGGTAAATCCATTACCCCCATTACATGCATGTATTTATTACCCCCATTACATATCTATATTTCCATTTACTCTTCATTACATGTCCATCTCTCCCCCCCCCCCTCTTCCCCATTTCCAATTGGCTGATTATTTGTTGTTCTTCGTGAATGGTTGATATTTGTGCTGTTGTCATTGTTCATCATAGTTGTTCATGTTCATCATTGGTACTCTAAGTTTCCATTTAAGTTTACAGAAAGTTTGATAAACAATCATGAGCAAAATAGACCAATTGACAACTGATCTATCCGGATACATTAACGAGAAGTGTAGTATTGCAAGTTATCAGAATGGAATAACTACCTTTATATAAAAACAACAAAAAAACATTGCTCTTGCAACTAGACTGAAGGCAGGAGATGATTGGTGTTTGATCAACAACATCAAAATAACCCGGTGAACCAAAGCTTCAGAACCCTAACAAGAGTGTTCCAGCTGCCCGTCTGCCTCTGACGTATTCACAATGTGACGGGATAAAAGTTACTTAACCAATTATGTGGCCACACAATACACAATATTCCTGACTGTAAATCATGCCCTCTTGCTCCCCCCCCCCCCCCCCCCCGTCTCTCCTCCTTCCCAGGCTTGCTATCATATCCCTCCTCTCTGATATATTGGTTTCTCCTGTTATCTGATATTTTTATTGGTAAATTATCTATCTGGATTAACACGTGTTGGAAAGGATTTTTAGGCTCTAATTTTTACGTTGGTGAAAGTCTTGCTTTTAACTGACATATTCCGCCATAAGCTAAATGCAATATTCTTTTTCAAAACCTACACGAACCTTTCTGGAATTTTTTTTAATAAATTCTTTAATAAATTATTTTCTGGAAAATAATTGATTAAAGTAAGCAGTTAGGGAAGTCAATTGTTTCGGGTCAGCTTGTTCCATTTTCAATTGGTTCCATGCTAACAAATCATCTTGAGGTTATCTTGAGATGATTTCGGGGCTTAGCGTCCCCGCGGCCCGGTCATCGACCAGGCCTCCTTTTTGTTACACACACCCCCAGGAAGCAGCCCGTAGCAGCTGTCTAACTCCCAGGTACCTATTTACTGCTAGGTAACAGGTGCATCAGGGTGAAAAAAACAACTGTCCATTTGTTTCCGCCTCCACCGGGAATCGAACCCGGAACCTCAGGACTACGAATCTAAAGCGCTGTTCACTCAGCTGTCAGGCCCCTATCATCCGTTTAATACTAACCTAACCAAAAGTTACCTGACCTGACCAAAGGTTACCTACGCTCGCCCTACCTAACAATGTTTCCAAAGGTAACGTTATCTAACCTATAGTTACCTTGGCTAACTTTACCTATCCAAACATTACCGCGGATGACATAATCTGACCTGACCTAACCTAACCTTACCTTACCTAACCTTACCTTACCTTACCTAACCTTACCTACAACAGGAGGCGAATATCACCTCAGGGACTATGTACCACTACCTTACCTTTCTTGACAAAATATCAAGATATTCGGATATCCTCCGAGGATATCCGAACATGCAGAGGCTGGAACCCCCGTACCACATCAAGGCCACATTACCCGCCTACAACAGTGTAGGCGGGTAATGTTTTACAAAACTTGATTTGGTATCAACTGTGTGCCTTACCACCACTTGTGGATACAGGTAAATCCCAGGTTACACTACTGAGAGCATGTGATGGTGCAGTGGTGTGAGGTGTGTGTGGCTGGGAGTACCCATGTTGCTCGCGCCAAGCCCAGAATTGCTTCAACTGATATTCACAATCTCAGGAAGAGAATGAAGTGTAAACCATTTGAAAGAATAAGGCAAGAGTTAAACTCTCCCAAGAGAAGGGAAGAAGAGTGAACTCTCTGGTAATCAAGAGTAAACCTCTGAAGATAAGAGTTTACCTACAGGAAAGGTGAGCACGCAAAAGATAATTTCAGGCAAGCGGTCTACTCTGAGGGATGAGTCTACCTCTCTCTCTCTCTCTCTCTCTCTCTCTCTCTCTCTCTCTCTCTCTCTCTCTCTCTCTCTCTCTCTCTCTCTCTCTCTCTCTCTCTCTCTCTCTCTCCCCGCCTGATGCCTCTAAAAACGTCGCATGTATTCATACATGAATATGTATGAATACATGCATGAATGACTACACATGTTCTGGTGTAACAATTAAAGGTTTTTCGCCAGGGAAATGGAAGCAGATGTAGGGCGTGAGGAACATGTAGGTGCGTTTGTTTGGTGTTTGTTATACATGTGTCTTTATCCCACTATGTATACTTCTATGGTCACACTATGTGTACAATATTGTCACAGTAAGTGTACCTAATGTGCACATATGACGTACAACTATGCCACACGTGGTACAATAACTCCGGTGGTACAACTATGCCACACGTGGTACAAGAACACCGGTGGTACAACTATGCCACACGTGGTACGATAACTCCGGTGGTACAACTGTGCCACACGTGGTACAACTATGCCACACGTGGTACAATAACTCCGGTGGTACAACTATGCCACACGTGGTACAATAACTCCGGTGGTACAACTATGCCACACGTGGTACGATAACTCCGGTGGTACAACTGTGCCACAGAGAACATTGCCAGGCTTCAGGTCTCTCTCTGTGCCTCTTCACACAACTCCATAACATAAATTTAATGTCCAATATCGGTCAAGTTTATTGGCCAGAAATACCTATTTATGTCCAGCCTTGGAACGTAGCGGTTCATGGTCTGTGTAATTCAGGTCAAAGTATATTTACACACAAGTATTTTTTTTACATACAATTTCTGGCGGACTGTGTCTCATTTAGTGTCCATAATATGTTACTACCACCTCACAGAAATATGTATTACATAGACGTGTGTGTACATATTAAATGCTCACCTGTTTGTGCTTGCGGGGGTTGAGCTTTGGCTCTTTGGTCCCGCCTCTCAACTGTCAATCAAGTGATGTACAGATTCCTGAGCCTACTGGGGTCTGTCATATCTACATTTTAAACTGTTTATGGAGTCAGCCTCCACCACATCAGAGAGTATCTGGTGTATGTGTGTGTGTGTGTGTGTGTGTGTGTGTGTGTGTGCGTGTGTGTGTGTGTGTGTGTGTGTGTGTGTGTGTGTGTGTGTGTGTGTGTGTGTGTGTGGAGAGTGAGTGAGTTAGCGAGACAGTTACAAGTGCCTTTCATGTTGACAGACAGGGTTGGTAGAGGGTCACAGATGCCATCATTTAAGTACGTTACCAGCGTGACCTTGTTAGTCCCCGGCTTGTCTTTGACTGTCGGGCCACAGGCAATGAAGCACGTGCACACACACACACACACACACACACACACACACACACACACACACACACACACACACACACACACACACACACACACACACACACACACACAGCCGGTGGCTGAGCGGACAGCACACTGTACGCGTGATCCTGTGTTCCCGGGTTCGATTCCCGGCGCCGGCGAGAAACAATGGGCAGAGTTTCTTTCACCCTATGCCCCTGTTACCTAGCAGTAAAATAGGTACCTGGGAGTTAGTCAGCTGTCACGGGCTGCTTCCTAGGGGTGGAGGCCTGGTCGAGAACCGGGCCTCGGGGACACTAAAAAGCCCCGAAATCATCTCAAGATAACCTCAATATAACCACCCTGACGCCCCTGTTACCTAGCTGTACATAGGTACATGGGAGTTACTCAGCTGTCACGGGCAAGTTGCACTCAACCCCTAGTCCTACTGCCCCCCACTCTTAACCCCCCCCCCCTACACCACAACCACAACCACCCCACATCAATCAGTGACCCACACCCACAAGCGGCACCAAGTCAGCGGCCATTACTGGTATATATACTGGTGATTAAGCTAACCTGGAGCGCCTCTCTGAAGCGGTTGCTCATGATGTGGTAGAGGATGGGGTTGACGCAGGTGGAGATGTAGTAGGACACGCCCGAGATGTTGAAGAGGACGTTGAAGAGCTGCACGGCCACCGGGTTGGTCGGGTCGGCGTGGAGGGCCATCAGCCGCTGGGCCTGGTGCGGCGCGAAGCACACGAAGAATGCTATCACCACCGCCACTGTTGGAGGACGGAGAGGGAGGTGGTGGTGAGGTTACTCGTAGTGGTGGTGGTGGTGGTGGTGGTGAAGGTATGGTGATATTGTACACATGGTGGGTAGACATGTGGGAACACATGGTGGGTAGATATTGAATACATGGTGGTGTAGATATTGCACACATGGTGGGGTAGATATTGAATACATGGTGGGGTAGATATTGAACACATGGTGTGTAGATATTGAACACATGTTGGGGTAGATATTGAAAACATGGTGGTGTAGATATTGAACACATGGTGGTGTAGATATCGAACACATGGTGGGTAGATATTGAACACATGGTGGGGTAGATAGTGAACACATGACAAGAACACTGAACATGTTCTTCCATAAGTACATACACAATGTTCCCAAAATCTACCTGCATGGTTAGTTCAAAGAAAAATGGTAAGAGATGAACAAGAGATTGTGTTCATTGAAATACAGTAAGCGTTGAACAAGAGAAGCTGTTCATCACCCAGCCAGTGCAGTCACTTGTTCAGCAGTATGAACAACTGCCTCACAGCATCACCACTGTTCAAAAGTGTTACATAACGATCAATATGTCAACTACCAAATTCAGAGGCTAATTGGCCCGTACATAAGTGCATCGCCATTAAGCCAGCGCATATTGTATAACATACGCTATACATAACAACATCATATTTATACATTGTTTAAATTTAATGGACTGTATCGCCAGGATATATTTCATGAGTGCAATAGTTACAAACATAAGGGCGATATCCTATTTTGTATCGTTGGTGATATCATATGTTATATTTGCGGCTCGGGGCTTAGCGTCCCCGCGGCCCGGTCTTCGATCAGGCCTCCTTTTTGTTATGTATATCATGTTAAACTAGGCAGCAGGAGATATAGACTCTCGAGTAGCGGCCAGAAAGATACCTTGTTGAATGGTCTTTTGCAGCAAACAGGCCATCAAGAGTTGTGAATAAGAATGGTGAGAGGAAGAGTTGATGAATGAAGGAACGTCATTCGTGAGAGAATGAATACAATTGACGAGAGAAGGAATGCCATTGATCAGAGAATGAACGCCGTTGATAAGATAAGGAACGCCACTGACGTCGCTACGAACAGACAGATAAAACCATGACGATATAACCGTTAAACACCCCCAGAGGCACTAACAAGGAGGTCACCTAACAACCTCTTGTGTCAGCCTCCACAAGCAGAGAACAAAGACACATACGATCTCCGTTTACAAAGACAACAGAACACAGACCTGAGGCCATAGATATATCGCAGCTTCATTTGCTGTGTCGCGTCGTGCTCCGGTTATCGTGTCGACGAGAGAACAAGGGTTCGATACCCCCCTTTAAACTCCATAAAGCTTGAAGCTTGATCTTTCAATTACAGAGTAGAGAACCCCCAGCTGCTGTCTCTGACAGCTGCAGTGAACTCCAGTGACAGGAATGTACACTGATTGTGTTATTGAAGGGACAAATGGACAGGGAGACAGACAGACAGATAAACACACACGCCCGCACGCACACAAGGGCCTGACGGCTGAGTGGACAGAGTTCTGGATTCGTAGTCCTAAGGGTCCGGGTTCGATCCCCGGCGGAAGCGGAAACAAATGACCAGAGTTTCTTTCGCCCTGATGCTCCTGTTAACCTAGCAGTAAATAGGTACCTGGGAGTTAGACAGCTGCTACGGGCTGCTTCCTTGACAACGGGTCGTGCTAAGAAAACCTTCCCCCTCCTCCTTCGACTCCCTCCGGCGTTCTCCGGAGATAAGGACTGTTGAGGAGCAGTTTGTGTAAGTCGGCGAGTGACTGTGGGTAATGAGAGCCACAGGTGTGTGTGGGGATGGTAAATATGACCTGATAATACACATATATAAACACACAACAATCGCCCCAAAACCTCTCTTGATCCTCTGTACAATCTCGATCCTCCTGTCCCCTCCCTCCCTACAGCCTCTTCGATTACCGGCCTCTACTTCAACGTCGTCAAGCTCCCCTCCAACACTACCAACTGCGACCCTCCCCCTCCCCTGCCCCTCCACCATGATGGGGTTGCCGCCTTGTGTAGGGTGATCTCGGCTCCTCCAGCGGTTATGGTCAAGGTGGGAAAATATGACGTCCTTTTTTTAAGCCTTGTCGTTTTTTGGTGGCTGGAAGCCTTTCATGCAAAGCATTTTAAATGTCAATACCACGGGCCGAGGTGTTGATATGCAGACTAAAAAATATATATCTTGAGGTTATCTTGAGATGATTTCGGGGTTTAGTGTCCCCGCGGCCCGGTCCTCGACCAGGCCTCCACCCCCAAGAAGCAGCCCGTGACAGCTGACTAGCTCCCAGGTACCTATTTACTGCTAGGTAACAGGGGCCTTAGGGTGAAAGAAACTCTGCCCATTGTTTCTCGCCGGCGCCCGGGATCGAACCCAGGACCACAGGATCATGCGTCCAGTGTTCTGTCCGCTCAGCCACCGGCTCCCTTATATCTTATATATCTTCACTCATCCTCTCCTCCAACAAAGAACGTGGCATTTCGCTCGTAGGCGTTACATAAGGCCAAAAAATCGTCGTACTAGAAAATGAAAGCGGCTGCCGAAAGTGACATACTGTCCCGATTTCTGTTTTGGGTCCCCTGGTAGGTTAGGAGAAGGGCACCTTCTATTGACCGTTTTCTTGACCTTGGGAATCCTTAGCAGGACGAACTGCTTCAGTAGTTAAGCCAGTTATTGTATGAGTCAAAGGTGAGGAACATGTTATAAAACAAGAAATGGTCGATGCTACAGCTTGTTTCAGCAGTTTGAACGGCCGCTCCAGTTAGCGGCGATGATTAATTACTAGTTCATGAAATGTGGAAACAGTAACTACCATTTGAGCGCGCTAATGACCTTGGGAATAACAAATGGTCAAGCCCATTACTGACTCAAACACAAATAGCAATTCCTATTTTTCATTTGACTTTGAGAACCAATGGACTGACGTTAAATACATACATTATTACAAACATAAACATATAATGATTTAAACAAAATTCATACTAAAATAAAAATGTTATAATATCAATGAGCTAAATACCGACAACATTTAATGGCCTTGTTTGGGGTAGTATATTTGACTCAATTTACCAAAAATCACAGAAATGTTTACAAAAATAGTTTGTACCGAGACATGATCAGTCATACCCAGACATGATCAGTCATACCCAGACATGATCAGTCATACCCAGACATGATCAGTCATACCCAGACATGATCAGTCATACCCAGACATGATCAGTCATACCCAGACATGACCAGCCATACCCAGACATGATCAGTCATTCCCAGACATGATCAGCCATACCCAGACATGATCAGTCATACCCAGACATGATCAGTCATACCCAGACATGATCAGTCATACCCAGACATGACCAGTCATTCCCAGACATGACCAGTCATACCCAGACATAACCAGTTATACCCAGACATAACCAGTCATACCCAGACATAACCAGTCATACCCAGACATAACCAGTCATACCCAGACATAACCAGTCATACCCAGACATAACCAGTCATACCCAGACATAACCAGTCATACCCAGACATGATCATAACTAGTTACGACTAGATAATCACGTTGCAGCCACCGAAATTACGTTCCATATGTTGCCTGAGCAAGAACCTCTGAATGAAAACCTGTTTACGTGGATTGCACTGCACGATTTTACGCTCTTGCAATGAACATTGAAGACAATTTACGTTCCAGCGGTCAGACTTGAGTATTGCTTTCGTATCTGAAGCGCGGTTATAACCTTTGGTACTGGGGATTGTGATGGTATGTTGTGCCAACAATCACTGAGATGGTATTCTGAGGCTCTTACCTGTCTGATGGATTGTTATTGTGGTTGCTATGGTTGTTCAGTTTTATGATTGTTCTTTGATACGTGTGGCAAGCCGTTATTCCTTCTCGCCTTCCTTATATCCCAGCTTCTTGTCCAAATATCCCAGCTTCTTGTCCTTATATCCCAGCTTCTTGTCCTTATATCCCAGCTTCTTGTCCTCATATCCCAGCTCCTTGTTCTCATATCCCAGCTTCTTGTCCTCATATCCCAGCTCCTTGTTCTCATATCCCAGCTCCTTGTTCTCATATCCCAGCTTCTTGTCCTCATATCCCAGCTCCTTGTTCTCATATCCCAGCTCCTTGTTCTCATATCCCAGCTTCTTGTCCTCATATCCCAGCTCCTTGTCCTCATATCCCAGCTTCTTGTTCTCATATCCCAGCTCCTTGTCCTCATATCCCAGCTCCTTGTTCTCATATCCCAGCTTCTTGTCCTCATATCCCAGCTCCTTGTCCTCATATCCCAGCTTCTTGTCCTCATATCCCAGCTCCTTGTCCTCATATCCCAGCTCCTTGTTCTCATATCCCAGCTTCTTGTCCTCATATCCCAGCTCCTTGTCCTCATATCCCAGCTCCTTGTTCTCATATCCCAGCTCCTTGTCCTCATATCCCAGCTCCTTGTCCTCATACTTCAGGTCTGAGGTCTGGCCGGTACAATATGACCTGCCGCCTCCTGTACATTCCTCCACCCTCTTCCTCCATGTTGCGTGGATCCTCCAGCAACAAGTAACTCCTCCTCCATCACGCCAGATCATCCTCAATCGTGTTGGATTCCCACTCCATGGTATTGGATCCTGCGCCACTCAGTTCGGTCTCACAACTGAGATCTCCGAGTCTATTGCCAGCCTTACTTTAGAGGTATGTCACACCTGTCACTATATAGCTGAAGCTGGTGTGTTTCAGGTCTCTCAGGTGTGGGGACTCGACTTATTTCTCCTACATATATATATATATGTACGTTAATACACATACATACATACATATATGCACCTGCTTTAATACAGAGTCCTACGCATACCGGCCCACTTTCATACGCATCCTGTATGCTGCTGCTGGAATGTGCGCGGAAAATTTTCTGGAAATTCTTGGGTGTTGTGGGAGCAAGAAAGAGATAAACTTATT